CGTAGTGAGAATTTGTCTGGAACACAACAACAAACCCAAAAACAACAAAAAGAAAAAAAAAGGAAGGAAGAAAAAATGTTTTCTCTCCTGCTGTGGAATATTAGTTTAAGATGTGTTATACTTGTTTATGCGGTGGAACATTTATTTAATGTGTAAAAATGTGTTACATTCTTTTATATTGCATTTGTGCAACTCTGCAGGGTTAAAGAGATGACCTAAGAGCACCTGTGTGCTCAGGTTTGATTCTCAGCACCCACGCGGCGGCTCTCGACCATCTGTAACTCACTCCAGTTCCCGAGATCTGACCCCCTCTTTGACCTCCAATGACATCGGGTATGCACACGATGTACAAACATATACATGGGGAAGACATTCATAAACAGAAAATAAAAATAAATGAGTCCTTAGAACATGCATTTCCAGCTGGTGGCTGTATATGCTTACAATCTCATCACATGGCAGGAGGAGGCAGAAGAATCCCGACACTCAGGGACCGCTGAACAGATGGCTGTTGTCAGCACATGGCGGGGATTAGACTTTTCTTTTAGCTACAGCCCAGACTCTATAACTTCTCGGCTATCCCGGGGATTTTAATGAAAATAACTTACATTCATCGACTTAAAAGTTAATTTTTGAGCCGACACGGCCAGGCATTTGTCACGTGAAATGCAAAACGGAGGAGCTGCCGATCTGCAGGGGAAGAATAACAAAAGAAACGGTTTCGGCAGTTTTTAGTCGCTTTCATTTTCATACTTTAGAAGTCAGTGCCTTGGTAGACACGGAGGGAAGTAGGAGACTGAGAACCCAAGACAGCAAAGACTGCGGGGGTCCACCGTGTACATCAGCTGAAGGGTCTCACGGTCAATTTCCCAGGGCAACAGGGCAATCTGGCCAAAGGCAATCAGAATGTCTTGCGTCCTCTGTGAAACAGTCCCAGGCCCTCCAGCTTCGCCTTGCAGTACACACAGGAGAATGAAGTACTGGTGTGCCCAAGAGAAACACCTTCAGTCTGTACAGGGGAAGAACTTCAGTCTCCTGTTCACACCTACTGTTAATCCCACAGATGGCGAATAAAGACCCCTACCACAGTTCAATTTGAAATCAAGCCTTAATTACATGCACATTTGCAGCAAGCTTTAATTAAATACCAATCAGATGGATGGGCTCGGGCCAGGTCTATACCCAGGTTCCCAGGAAATGGCCCAGAATCAGTTTGCAGAGGCTTAAGAAGGAAAACCCATAATTCATTGCATTTCCCATCGGGTCCAATCAGGAGCAAGCATACATTCTGATGGACCTCTAGTCTACATCCAATCAGGAGCAAGCATACATCCTGATGTACCTCTAGCCTGCATCCAATCAGGGATAAACATACATCCTGATGGCCTTCTAGTCTACATCCAAGCAGGGGCAAGTGTACATCCTGTATTTTCCTGCCTGTGAACTTCCCACCCACATGTGATCAGCACATTAGGTGCCAATGGGTCAAACAAACTTGTCAGGGGAGTGAAAACCTGCTGCTTGAATCTCCCATAAACAACAGCCTCCAGCATTTCTGGAACTGTCTGTCATTGGGCAAGGGACTTGCAGTCCAGAGGCATTTTTTTGTTTGTTAGGCATAATAATTAAAACTGAAAATGTAATTATGGCTCGCACACTACCATCAACGAAAGTCTTTCCTCTTAAAAAATTATTTGTTTGCCTGTGCTGTTGGTGCACGGACTTGCGCAGGCCCAAAGAGTGCCTAAGATTCCTTGGCGCTAAAGTTCACAGGTGGAGAAAGGAGAGCCCAGAGAGTGCTCTTTAAAAGTCAAGGACAGAGCCTCAGTAAGCTCAACCCTGGTCGGGAGGTGACAGATGCAGCAATTGCTGCAGGAAAGCCTGCAGGATCACTTCCTGAATCCCAGAGACCTGGACCTCAAGGAGGAAAAGCAGGCAGTGTGGGGCCGGTTCCTGTCTGTCTCATCCACACCTTTGGCCCATTAGAACAACTTATCTTAGAAACTAGATTCACACAGGAAACTCAGCAAGTGGAAATGGTGGGAAAACGAAGCCCATTTTCTGATTTTTGGTTCTCACCAGTTAGAGACGAGAACAAAGTATTTATCTGCCTTCGCCCAGAGGTTCCCTTGGGTTCCTCACATCAGTAAAAATCATCACACAAGGACTGTCCTCGTTATGATTTTAAAAATCAAGTCTTTGTGCCTTCACGGTCAGTGGCTTTCAGGTTCTTTATACCTCTGCTTCCCTAATAACTTTGACATCTTGACTCAGCCACCCCCCCCACTTCCCCCACCCAACTCCTGCCCAGCACAGAAATGCAAACAGGCTTTCACAAGGAAGAAAACACCCCCATAAAAGGTAGAGGGCATGATGGCATTTTCCTGCCCAGTCCAAGTCTTCCATTCCTTAAAAAAAAAAAAAAAACACCCTAGCAGCTCCTCGATGGAGGAAAAGTGCTGGGTGAGTCCATGCAGTCCCATGCTCCAACCCCAACCGCAGAAGGCCAGGCCTACCAGGAAACACCTCCAAAGCCCTGTGCATTGAGCCCTCTGCTCTCCAGATTCAGCATGAGATGCAGCCTTGGGGGTCTGTGCAGTGACTGCCCCAGACTGGATCCCAGGGGCCCATTTCCCTAAATGAGAGCGGTCAGCAGGTGAGGCCACTTGCCACCAAGCCCTGAGGATTGAGTTAGATCCCTGGGACCTACAGTTGGAAGGAGAGACCCGACTGCCACAATTGTCCAGACCTCCACAAGTACTGTAGCAACCTCCCTCGTCATCTTAAACAAATGTTTAAAAAGGAAAAACAGAGAGCCAGGTGGTAGTGGCAGATGCCTTTAATCCCAGCACTCGGGAGGCAGATCTCTGTGAGTTCGAGGCCAGCCTGGTCTACAAGAGCTATTTCCAGGCTCCAAAACTAGAGAAACCCTGTCTCATAAAACCAAAACAACAACAACAACAACAACAAAAAACGAACAAAACCCAGTAAATAAATAAATAATGCTAGCAAAGCCCCTCCATTCTTTCCTCATGAATGTATCATAAACTGCAGTTTGAAACACTCTGGATTTTGTGGCTTAATGGGAAACATTGAATCCTGGAATGTAGTTTTCCTGGGCTATCATTCTTGTTCTTACTTTCTGGAACAAAATAATCTCCGCTGATGGCAGGAGTTTTTAGCTTCTCTTTTCAGAAAGGCTCTCCGTAGCCCAGATTGGCCTCAGGCTCTCAGATTCTAGTGCTCCAAGGCAAGAGCCTCCAAACCCAGCTTAAGTTTGTTATTTTGATTATCCCTCAGTCCTGGGGAAGCACACACCAAATCCTGGTGTACTTGTCTTTAGAAGCAAAACCGAGGCTTGGGCTTATATCTAGTCATTAGCAGAGTTTGGGTGAGTGGGGGAGCGGGAGGGAAATGGGAGGAGAAGAGGAAGTAGAAATTTTGAATGGTATTATTTTTAAAGCAATAAAAAAAGAATAAGCCACCCACCCAAAAAGGTCTACAACCTTACAGAACAGCGCCACCAGCTGGGGAACAAGTGTTCCAACACATGAGCCTGTGGGGTCATTTCATCCTCAAGTGGGGACAATCACCAGAGGACAGGCGGTACTTTTGGAGAGACCATGTAAATTCAAGATGGGAGCTCTTCCTCGGGGCCTTGCTGGAGAAAAGATCTCAGCTGCTAAACACACACAGACAGGTCTGGGATAAGTGTAACTGACCCTGGCCTTGGCCTCTTTTCTTCTGAGGCCGGGAAGTTGTGGAGGTGCAAGCTGTTTTTAACTTCCAGATAGTAATCCCCGTCTAGGAATCTTCGGGAATTCCTTCCCTTCTCCTGAGCTCTTTCGGGATTTCTCCTCTTTGAAGATGACACCCGCATGGCCCCCAGCAGGAGCACACATCTCGCAGCGTAACATTATAATGCAGATTTATAAAGTTAGCGATTCTTTCTCAAGTGATTTGAAGCAAAACAAATAGAAAACAATCACTATGATTCCGACTTTATTGCTTCTCAGGCATGTCATTCATACAGTCTTAAGGAAATAGACTCTGAGAAAATATACCGGGGGCATATCCGGTAACGGCAGCATTGACGGAAGAGTTCAAGTGTCCACACAGGTAACGGGAGGCACCGCTGCCACCAGCTGCCCCAGAGATTTGTACAATTCATAGAAAAAGAGTAAAAATAGTTCATTGGCATTTAACTAGATTATTCTTTGTGATCTAAGACCCACAATAACTTTGACCAGTGTAATAGCTTTAAAACAGAACTAAACACTTTTTTTACATTACAAGATGTTTCTAAAAAAAAAAAAAAAAAAGAAATCAAGATGACAGTAAAAACTACACAAACAGAACCTTGGAAATAAAAGATGTCATAGTCTGAGTGTCTTCATTGTCAATGTTAACCCATGAAGCCACACGGGAGTCAGCTCTTTCAAGAGCGAGCAGACGCTTTCAGTGTAGGAACACTTACTTTAGAGCTCACACGGTTTACCTGAAGCCAAGGGTAACTCTGGGAAATCCATGGACACCTCTTAGGCTGTTCTCATGCTGCGCCAAGTTCTTTAAAAGTTAACTGTCGGCTACACTACACGGTACAACTTGGCATTCTGACAACGTTGAAGCACACACAGTCACCACACCACACAAACACACACACACACACACACACACACACACACACACACAGTCTCCAGGCGAAACTACCGTAGGTTTCCTTTCCTAATGAGTTTAAGAACCAAGCATGTCCAACAACAGTTCAGCATGTGAAAGACTTGTGTGTCAATTATTAAAAAGACACAGAGGCTGGGGAACACATCTGGATATTTGAAAAGACACTATAAAAACAAACCCACTGAATAGCAGTGGTTTAAAAAACCCACTGAAAAGCAGACCCCCCCTTCCCCCACAACAACCAAGCAGTACGCCCAGGACTGGAAATGTGTTTTATGCTGAATCCACTGAAAGACTTTAGTTACCAACAAAACATCACAATAGCAGATAATAGGAATTTATTAAAACCACCGTCTCCAACAATACAAAAATTAAATATTAAGGCATCTTCTACTCATCCTGGCATTTGCAGCAAAGAGAAGTATTTGAAACAAGAGCTAGCACTTATCCAAATGCCTTCTGAAGTATTTGGCAAACCTGTTGTTTTTGTTTTGTTTGTTGTATATCTATATATTTGTGTGTGTTGCCTGTTGAGGCCCGAGATCTGTTATGTGTCTTCTTCCTGTATTGCTTTCTACTATTTATTTGAGATAGCGTCTTTCACTGAACCGGGAGTTCAGGGATTCCGCCAGACTGGCTGGCCAGCAAGCACCAGGGATCCTCCCGTCCCTGCCCGCCCAGCACTGGGTTTCAGGCGCATGCCCGGCTTTCTCCGTGGCTGCTGGGGACCTGAGCGCGGGTCCTCGTGCTTGCACGGCGAGCCCTTTACTGACTGAGCTCCTTCCCAGGCTCTCCGTTTTCTTCTTATATTCTTTCTATTATTCATAGAATTGGAAGATCTCATGGTCAAACACCTTCACCCAAGCTAAGAGAAAAGTAGAACTAGATATCAGTTTATTAAGGGGAAGCAAGTGACTGCTGACGAATGAGGAACTACAGAAAGAATCAGAACCCTCAGCACCAGTGCTGAGATTGCTCTGTAGCAGCTTTCTCTTGGTTATCCAAGCAGAAGGAGATGGCGACTTACGGGGAGACGCCTGTTGCTATGGTCATGCCATGGAATACCAGCGATGCTATCCCGGGCACCACTGACTCACCCCTCAGGGCCATCCACTGCCGACGATGCTCTCAACGGCTACACTTTCACCTTTCACGAAGGCGAGCTTGTGAAAATAATTTACTACAGCCAGATCTCGTCGTGGACTTTCCACTTCTATTTTTAAAGACACATACAAAAGAGCTATGTCTTGTAAAAAGCCACTCGGTGCCAGAAAAGGTAAGGAGCCATGTTGATCCGGGCTGCCTTGCAGAGATGCTCTTGCTTCTTCTGCAGGGGCTACTCATCGTCTTTAGAGCCAGTTTTGCTTAACTTTTAAAAAGAAAAAAAAAGATCTACGTATTAAGCGGAAGTGATGATAGTAGCTGAGGTATTATTTCCATCAGAATCAAAAAGTAAATAAATAAACACTCGGAAATCAAGTTCAAGTCATGGGAGTTTAAACTGTAACCATTCAGACAAGTACTTTCTACCTCTAGGCTGTATTACTTCCAAGAGGTTTAAAAACTTAGGAGTTCCTTAGTTTAGCTAGGCTTGCTGGGCGATGAGTCCTGATTCCCCAAATGCATGCCAAAGAACCCGGCTTTTTATGAGGACGCTGGAGATCTGAACTCAGGTCCTCATGCGTGCACAACAGGCAATTTACGGACAGAACCATCTCTCCATCCCTCAATAAGAACTACGTTTTCTGAAAGAAGACTTGGCACAGTGCCAGCTCTCCATTTCTGCAGCTCTCTTTAGGATCTAGCTCGACAGGAGATGTCTAGATTCGCACACATCTATTCTACAGTGGGGCTGACCCTGGGGGACATGGCAGCAGAGACAGGAGCTACGCTTCCTACTTAGCTTTAATGCTCTAAGACCGAGGAAGCAGAGAACGCGAAGGCTTCAAGAATACTTACATGCTGAGTCCAAAAATGTAAACAGATATCCGTGAGATCCCAAAGGAGGCAGGAAGGAAATGGAAAACAGACATCTCATTATTTGATGGCAATAACTGTAACAACTTTGAAGACTTGAAAGTAAGTAAGCTGTACCTTCACGACATCAACCCAGTTCCAGCCTCGAGGGAGCTCCCCTTTGTGATCTAGAGGACAAAAATCAGTAACCTTAGTAAGACCGACCGCTGGTTGTAAATGAATCGACATCCTAGCAAATAGTGTTCTTTATACTACTGCACACAACAAGTAGATGAAAGTGTGCAAGACAAACCTGTTACCAAGGAAAAGTGAGGGGTGCGATGCCACACTGCTCCGACGCAGGTGGAGAGTTTTACCTCCTACAAGGCCAGTGTTTTTGTGGGTAGGACGCGGGACTAGCTCTGTTTCAGGATTCATATCAGGGCACTTGGCTCCAGACAAGCAAGATGACACTGATAAATGTTTGGCTTCAGGACTCAAGGGGAGTGAAAGTTAACTTATGGACAGCTTGACCACGCGCTGGTAAAACGTTTTTCAAAGGGAGCTTCACCCTATTGCGGTGTTCTCAACCTGTGGGTCATACCTCCACAGGGGTCACTTACCAGATATTTTAGATATTTACATTATGCTTCATAACAGTAGCAAAATTACAGTCATGAAGCAGCAACAATAAATAACTTTATGGTTGGGGGTCACCACAACATGAGGAACTGAATTAAAAGATAACAACAGCATTAGGAAGGTTGAGAACCACCGCTGTATTGAGAATGTTTGGATCAAAGCTTATAAGGACTCATATGAAAATGCATAGTTTACAAAATGCTTTCATCCTTTTAATATTCAAATTTAAAGAACAAGTTAACAAGTAAACGATTTACTTAAAAATTCTTCAATATTAGGGCCAAAACGATGGCCCAGCAGGTGAAGGTACACGCTGCCAAACCTGACCCCTGAGTTCATCCCTGGGCCCCTAAAATTGTCCTCTGATCTGAGGACAATTTTACATACATGCCATGGTACACATGTGCCCACACATGACACATATGTGCACAAAGTAAATAACATTTAAAATATAATAACAAAAATTCTTCTATTTCAAATGGCTTAGCTTTCTTATTCTTCATGTAGGTGGCTAAGCTCATTTTATGGAGCCTTAAAAAATTGATATTTGAAACAAGTTCTATACAGATCTGAAAAAATGCTCCAAAATCGGAAACTGTTTTAGATTTTGGAACATTTTAGATCTTGAATTATGGCTGTTCAATCAGGAACTATGACAACATTCCTGAATCTGGAAGGCCGTGAGCTCTGAACACTTCTGGTCCCAAGCACGTGGACAAAGGGTATTCACCTGTATTGACTGTCCAGCAAAGCAGTCAGAAACCAATGGTTCTCTCAGAGAGAGGCAATTATAGGAGCCCAGTCCCTGATGCTCACGGTTCTGTTCTCTTTCAGATCAGCAAGAATCTTATGTCACAGATTCTGAGGGTACAGTGCAGATGCCCAGGCTATCCCATTAAAGTTAGCATTAAAGTTATGCTAAAATACTCCAGAAAGACAATAACCAGAATTCTAGAGAATAGACCGCAATAGCTAATATTTTTACTTCAGGTATTTATGCATTACTGCTGCCTGATCTGAGGTGAACAATGCGGAGACTTTTAGACCACAAAGTTGCAGTTTCAAACTGTTGTTTATGAAGACCAACACAGTGTTGGTTTCCTTTTATTCTACCATCCACAGACATTAAATAAAATAACCCTAGTATCCCTTCACAAAAGAAAGGGCGGGGGCCAGAGCACTTGCTGCCCTTCCGGGATGAAAGACAGATTCCCAGCATCCACATCAGCAGCTGCCTGCAATTTCAGGTCGAGGGGCTCCAACACCTGTTTGGGGCCTCCACGAGCACTTCACAGACACGGTGCACATGAGCCCACGCACATCTTTATGTAAAAGTGTGTGTACACCAACATTTTCCTTTTCCTTGATCGGGAAAATTCAAACTGATGTCTATCTGCAAATTTCCAAGTTAGAGAAAAAGGAGCAAAAATGACTGTTGATTGAGCTGGAGTTGATATTCCTTTTCCAAGGAGTCTGCTATCAGACACGTGGGAATTCTTTTCTGAAATCTCATTGTAGAATGAAGTTAACAACAGGCAAAAAACATTAACTGCCTGTGCTCAGATGGTACTGATGCACCAGACTGCAAGTGAAAACTTTTTATTTTACACAGCCCTTAAACATCCAAACCTGTCACACAGGTAAATAAAATCCCACACAATGTTACAGCGTTCAAGTGGGCCACATGTTTTGTCCATTTTTCCAATGTTCCTCAGTGGGAATGTTTATAACTTCTCTGTGACTCATTGTCTTTTTCCAAATGATGATGTCACGATGGAGCAGCAATAAATAGCAGTATTTTTTACTGTGACTAACAGGTCTCTGATTCAAATGTTCCAAGGATAGACTAAGGAATTAATCCTGTAACCCTAAACATAACAAGCACCCCCACCACAGTGAAGTTCACCCATGTCCCATGTTAAGAAAGACAAAGAACAATGCATACCTGTCTTATCTGCCAGCTTGCGTTTCTGAGCTTTGGAAAGTTGTTCTTTCTTGTCTTTTTTCTTACTTGATGGGGCTGTGCTGGGAGTTTCAACCGAGATGATATTGGCTATGGATGTCTATAAGAACAGAAACAGATCTTAGACTTGCACCTTAAAACTTACTGGATCAGACTCAACATAGCTTCTTCTCGAAGGGGGCGGCGGTGGGTTTCTAAATTGACAAAAACCAAAGGTGTTACTGCTGTTATTCACTTATTCAGTCAGGTGTCCTTATACCTCACTGGCCTTGCTCATTTTCAAGGACACAACAGTGGGGTGGCAGTTCAACTGGGACCCCGAGAAGGAAGTCTGATCACCCATGTTATGTTGAAGATTCGAGGTTCCCACAAAATTGTCTAAATTACCGAACTTGCTGTCATTATTGGTACATCTTTAGAAAACTCATACATTCCACCCAGCTCTTTTGGTTTCCTGAAGAAAATCTTTAAATTATTTGGACTTGCATAGTTAGCAGCTATGATAGCTAAAATCTAAAATACTTAGCACATGATGAGTATTGCTGTGACTGCATTATACCATTTATTTGGGCCTTACCACAATAATATAAAGTAGACGCTATTATAACTCCATTTGACAAATGAGATTCTGAGCACAGAGGTTAAGAAAGTTGGCCAAAGTCACAGGGTTAAAAAAGATGGGCAGGGAAAATTTGAACACGTGTTGGCCTCAAATGGAACTAAGATGTGACGTTTTTCTTTCTTCCTCTTTTAAGACAGTATCTTACTTACAGCCCAGGTTGGCCTTGAAATCACAGACCTGGCCTCTGCCTCCTCAGGACACATTCAATTTTAATGGTTAGAAGTATTTTAATCTTTGCTGAAGGGTAAAATGGACAGAACATAATTCCGTTTTCTCCACAAAATAGAAGAAATCTAAGATTCATTGTTCTTACTTAAATCAAATGTAATTCTCTGTTTAAATCTAACACAAAGTCTTAAAAAAAACACACACACACACACACACAGCAAGAGTTAATTAACACGCCCAGACCAAAACCAGCTGGCAGAACCAACCACACACTCACTGGCGTAGAATTCCCGGGATGGTGGTTCTCCATGAACTGCTCTTTATTGTCCTTTGCATACTCGAACAACGTGTAGGTCATGGCGGTGCCAAGGTTCACTTCTACCGCTTCCTGTAGCTTGGCTAAGATGCTCTGCTTCACAGCCGAGGAGCTACAAGGCAGAGATATCAGACTGTCAAAGTGAGTCAAACAGAAGGCAAGGACCAAGCAATGAAAACTAAACTACTCACATGGTGTTGTTAAAAAAGGCGTTCATAGATATAACCGGAGGCGTCTGGGGATAGGTCTCTGTCCAGGAAATCTCTATTAGGAAGGCTTTGGGATCACCATCTTCACCTATCTGAAGAAAAGGGAATCTTAGGCTTGTGGAAAGTGACCCAAAGACCTAAATTACGACCTGCAAAATGATTCTTTCCAACATTCGCGTTCAGACTCAGAAGCACATACGCTGAGAAGTTCAGAGGTTCTGGGGAGGACTGGCCAAGGTGAGGGGACTAGATAGAGTTTCAACTTTAGTCCTCTGGGGCTTCAGGGAGTTCCATTGCTGCAGAGGGCCCATTTCTCAGTCAGCGGCCAGCTGGACAACGCCAAGGATACACTTTACATGTTTTGTTTCTGAGGCTGCAGTTAAGACAACAACAATAAGGAACGCGATGACAACAGAGCTGGGGGTGGTAGCACTGGGAGGCGGAGGCAGGTGACTCTCCTGAGCTTGAAGCCAGCTGGGTCTCCAGAAGACATACACAGAAGAAACCATGTATCAGAAACAAAACAAAACCTAAGCAGCCAATGGACAAAAGTAATTACCCACAAACTTGTAACAGATTGTCTTTCAGCTTTCCAGCTGCTAAACAGCAGCAGGCACAAAAAACAGGCCCGTACAAGCTGTTCAAGGGACAGGAGACCAGAAAACACAGTGGAAGGCTGAGACAAGCAAAGCAATGGACTCGGGGGAGGATGCCTTAGGCCAAGAGAATTCTTGGTAAGAAACTCCTGTTAAAAGTTCCGGGTCAAGTTTTTAATTTAAAACAGTTTTAACTCTTAAGGAAAAGCTAAACAGGCATGATGCATACTCACTGATACGCATTTACTACACACGCGGTCATTTCCCTGTCTTTCCCGTTAGCACAGAGGGCAGCACTTACTCCTTTAACATGGTTTTCCCCACTCTGGTTTTTGTTGAAGCATTTAGAAGTAATGAAACATCTTTAGTTATTAAGAGTGAAAAAAAAAAAAACCTTAGGATATCTTTTATAGCCCCAAGACAATCATCCCACGTCCAACAACTCAACATTGATATAAAAAACCTCATCTAATATATAATTTATATTACATTCCCCAACTATACCCAAAGTGTCCTTTAACAAATGTACTTCCAGCCCAGAAAGCTGAAATTCTCTGAAGGTTTACTCTGATTGGTTGTCTACCTTAATGGAACCTTTTCCCTGGCTTTTGAAAGTCTGTTATGACATTAAGAGCTTAGGCTGGTTTTTCTGACTAACATCCCCAAATATAGACAACTACTTCCTCTGTTCAGGTTCAGATGGGGCATTTTGTGCGGAGAGGAGGTGTGGGAGCTCGTGGGCATCCTATCAGGATTCGCCACTGGGGCTAATTTCTTCAGCGGAGAGGGTAATAAAGAAAATCCATGCAGTAATAACACACAAATACGTCACTACCCTGTTTCTTAGCAACCTTTGCCTGGAGATTTTAACGTCTGTTAATAATGCTGGCCTGAATCAAGCTTCTCACTCAAGGGGCCTGCGAGACAGCTCAGAGGGGTAAAGAAAGGCACCTGCTGTCAAGTCAGATGACCTGAGTTTGATCCCTGGAACCCACATAGTGGAAGAGGACGACCAACTCACATGCATTGTGGCATACATGTGCCTCTCCCTGAATACACACACACACACACACACACACACACACAAACACACACACACTACATCCAAGCAAAATACTCATATACACAAAATAAAAATAAATCTTTTTCAAAGTGGACTTGGGTTATGGAACTAAGAATAGAGCCATCACTCTACGGGCAAGAGAAGCCCAGGAAGAAGCCTCTTTAAACAGGCTATTGCCGGGCTACTTAAATGCTTCAGAGTGTTAAATGCTCTGAACTTGTGGTTCCATGTAAGAGGGAAGCTGAAAAGGCAGAAGTAGAAGCGGGGTGGGGGTGGGGGAGTCATTTAGGAGCCTACTAAACTGTTCTATTGGAGAATAGAAGGTCAGACGGGAGGATCCCTGACTCTCCTCCTTTGACTGTGGACATGCGCTATCCAGTTCTGTGTTTTGTTCTATTGCAGAGTGCACACGCATATCCTGGACCATTCTGCACACTGTGCTCAGTAGATAACTGACGCTGTTACTGGAGACAATTAGGAAACCATATGGGAATTCTCAATGTCCCTGGTAAAGAAAAGGCGGCAGTGGCTGGGGAAATCTCAGAAGGCAGCTAGCCGGATTTAACCAGAAGGACCAGGTCTTAATTCCATCATGAACTTTGGCCCTTAAGAGTTCCCTAGTGGTTGTGATGTTGATAGTGACAACTTGATGGGATTTAGAGTCACCACAGAAACATCCTCAGGGCATATCTGTGAGGGATTTTCTGGATTGGGCTAAGTGAGGTGGGAAGGCTCACCCTGATGTGGATACCATTCTATGGGCTGGAGTCAGGAGAGACAGAGAAGTGGGCAGAAGCAACGTTCTCTGTCTCCCGACTTTGGGCACTGTATAAGGAGCAGCCTCCCACGGGACCCTCCTTCTGTCATGGCTTCCACTAGTGGGCTGCACGTCCAAACTCTGAGCCCAGGGAAACTCTTCTTTCCTTAAGTTTTTAACGTTTTAAAAAGATGTATTTATTTGTTCCTACTGTGGGATTTGTGTGGGGCACACGTGTTCCCCAGTAACAGAGGACAACTTCCCGGACTGGTTCTAGCTCAGGCCGTGGAGCCTATGAGGTAGTGTTCCTATCTCTCTGGCCTGGCCCTCAAGTTGCTCTGTCAGGAATTTTGTCATGGCAACCAGTAAAGTAACAACTATAGTTGTCACCCAGATGGAGGCAGTACAAAGATGGTGGGCCTGAAGAACCGGGGACTGTCATAGAGCAGTGGTTCTCAGCCTGTGGCTCTCCCCCCCCATTTTGGGTCAGATGACCTTTGCACAGGGGTCACCTAAGACCATCAGAAAACAAAGATGTTGACATTATGATTCATAACCGTAGCAAAAGGACAGTGATGAAGCAGTAGTGAAAATACTTTTCTGGCTGGGAGTCACCACGACATGAGAAACTATATTCAAGGTTCACGGCATAGGAGGAAGGCTGAGAATCAGTGCTTAGAGCATGTGTTCCCTAGTCACACTTGGGAGTCTGAGATAAAAGAAGCAAGAATTCAAGGCTAGACGTGGGCTACGTGGTGACACTCTGCCCTAAGCAAACGAACAAAAACCCATTTCCCGTTAGAGTCTACAGGTCAAGCAAATTTGAGGGTTCTAGAGCACCGTCAGCTGTGACAGAGTCCAGGAAGCTAGAACTCAGGGAAGCCATCTTTAAGAGAGAGGCACCATATAGTACTTAAGATTTCTTTTACCTCTAATGTTTTATAATCAATTAAAACATTTTTTAAGGTTCTAAATTAGGTTGGAAAGATGGCTCAGTGGTTGCCCTTCCAGAATACCTGGGTTCATCCCGCAGCACCCACATGTCAACTCACAACTGTCTATGAATCTATAGAGTTCAAGGGGATCCAGTGCCCCCTTCTGGGCTCTGTGAGTACCTGACAAGTACGTGATACACTGACATGCTTGCTGTCAAACACCCAGACACATAATAAAATAATATCTATGTTAAAAAGGTTCTGTATTAAGTTTTCAAATGTTACCAATAACAATGTCATAGAGATAAGTTTCATTTAACTGTGTCAGGAGGGCTGGAGAGATGGCTCAGTTGTCAAATTACTGGCTGTTTTTCCAAGAGCCCAGTTTGGTTTACACCATTCATGGCTTACAACCCTCTGTAACTCCAGCTCTAGGGGACTGGATGCCATCTTCTGGGCCCCCAGAAACACACACAAAACATTTCTAGAAAAATAGAAATTTCAGAAAACACAGGAATATAATAAAGTTAACTCACTAAGTTAGAAGATGGAGCCAGACTCTGCAGCCTCCACATCCCCTTCCCTAGCAGAGAAATACATGCACTGTACATGCTGTGTCTTACCCTGTACTGAAACGAAACCGGACTTAATTCCCGGAAGCTTTCATCTCCTTCATAAATAGAACGTAAAGCTTCTAGTTCCATCTGAAAAAAAAAAAAAAGGATATTGTTTAGTGGTGTATCTGGATTAGAAAGAGATGTCTTTAGCTTGCTATTCGAAACCACTCAACTTTGTAAAACTTATGGCTTAACTTATTGGTCCTAGCCGCTTATGACATATGTGTATATACCAACACAGAACAATTATACTAGCAGCAGGTACCAACACAGGACAACTATACCAACAGCACATACTTTAAGACTATCTGTTGGGAACTGCTAAGGGTTTTTACATTGTATCAGCTCACTTAATTCTCACATCCACCTGTGAAGAGCTGACTACCATACTTCCTTCTCCCTATTGTGGAGGAAAGATGTGGATTAAAGCAGTTTGAGAATATTTTGTGTCCCTCTCCTGAACAACTCACCTGAGGTATAGAAAATGCACTAATCGTGGAAAGGAGAAGTAGGAGGCACAACAATTTCCCATTTTTAAAAGGACATCGGTTGCTGTGTGGTGGTGGAACAAGCCATGAATCCCAGCACTCGGGAGGCAGAGGCAGGCAGATCTCTGAGTTCAAGGATATCCTGACTACAGAGTGAGTTCCAGGACAGCCAGGGCTACATAGGGAAACCCTATCCCAACAACAACAATCTCTGGGAGTTCGAGGCCAGCCTGGTCTACAAGAGCTAGTTCCAGGAGAGGAACCAAAAACTACAGAGAAACCCTGTCTCAAAAATCAAAAAAAAAAAAAAAGTGTACCTATCTATCACCTCAAATTTTCAATCATTTATTTGAGAAATGCAGAAGTTGCTTCTCTCTCTCTCTCTCTCTCTCTCTCTCTCTCTCTCTCTCTCTTCCTCTCTCTCCCTCTCTCTCGTTTTTTTGAGACAGGGTTTCTATGTGTAACAATCCTGGCTGTCCCGGAACTCACTTGGAAGACCAGGCAGAACTCTCAGAGATCGGCCTGCCTCTGTCCCCAGTGCTGGGATTAAAGGCGTGCACCACCACTGCTGACAGAATGCAGAGGACACTTTTAAACTAGCCGTGCTACTGTGTGGCAAGACACCAGACCTTGCTCGTCTCTTTTTAAGTTTGTATCCACTTACTAGTCGTTCCTCTTCCCTTTCTCTCTATCCTCGCCCCTGAACTCATTAATGCTTTGGAGTCCCAGAACTGGCAGGAGTGTTTAGCGGGTTATTCAGACACCAATTAGTTTGTTGGATTTGGGGGTTCTTTACAGAGAAAGAGCTTTTATTAACACCCACGCCGTCAGAATGCTAACTTTTAAGCAACACACCCAAAACAGTAAATTACTACATTCGTCTTCCAATCAATCCTTAATGCATCACGTTCATTCACTCTGGGACACTCTACAACGGCAGACACGCTTCCTCACCTGAACACATTATAGAGTTAGAAAGGTCGATGACACGTGATTAATAGCATGCATCCCTTCCAACTCTATATCTACATGACATTTTGCAATAAAAAGATCAAAACACATACTATACAAAATTCTGAGCAAAAACTGCCCCAAACAGATTTTATATTCCCTTAATAACTGATTGACAAGCGATTTCACTAAACATTCTGGACAGAAAGTGAGACATAAGGGCCATTCATTTCCCTCCCCAGAAATTTTACTTTCTCAACCCCCTCCCTATGAGACCACAGGTTTTTCGAGACTGGATTTCTCTGTAGCTTTGGAGCCAGTCCGGGAACTAGCTCTCGTGCACCAGGCTGGCCTTGAACTCACAGAGCCCCGCCAGCCTCCGCCTCACCGCCAGCCTCCACGAGAACTCGGATTAAAGGCGTGTGTGCGCCACCACCGCCCAGCTAAATTTTAAAATTTAAAGGATTTTAAGACAGTATAACACGTAAGCGCTTAAGCCACACGCGGGACTTAAGGTCAACCAAGTGCACCAGGGTCGTGGACCAAGGACACTCATCTTAGCTAGAAAATCTGGGGATATCCCCGGGGTTGCAAAAAAAAAATGAGGGGAGCGGGAGGCTGGGTCGCACGTGACCCATTCATGCTCGCTGGCCTCGCTGCTGACCGGTGCCGTCTGGCAGTGGATCCGCCAACGTGGGGCACCCGACTGGCCAGGCTGTGAGGGCTCTCAACGCAAAGGACACGCGAGGAGTCCCGGGTGCCCCACGTTGGGACCTGCGCCGGGACTGGGGTGTCCAGTCCTGGGTTCTCACCTCCTGGTCCTCGTTGGCACCCATCGCGCAGGGCGCACAGCGTCTGCGACCGCGAAGATCAGGCGGAGAGCCGGCGGGAGGCCGGAGCACCCCGTTTCCGCGCCTCGGTCTGGGGAAACCCTCCTCGCAGCCGTGGGTACGAGCTCGCGCCCTCCCGACCCTCGGCGGCACCAAGCCGCTGGCAGTCGGCTGCGGGCCGGGAACCCAGGATCGCGTTAGGTGGGACCGGGAACCCCGACCGCGTTAAGTTGGGGGGGGCACCCAGACCTCTGATCAGCCGCGGAGGGGCGGTCACGAGAGGCCCCGCCCCTTCACGATCGCTTCTCCTATTGGCTCCTCCTTTCCCCGCCCCCACTTCTTTCTCCTCTAGGAAATGGAGCCCCTGCCGTGCTAGGTGCTCCGTTCTGCTCCAGGACTGGTTGCGAGTACTGTCACTCAGGCTCAGAAAGTGCTTCCTGTGCCAGCGGAGGCGGGGAAAAGGAAGTCTCGCCTTCTGCCGCCGGCTGTGGGGCTGTCGGAACTCGGTGGCCGCGTTCCGTGACGCCCCTGCCTGGCTCTCCCGGTGCTCTCGGGGCTGGCGGCGACTCGCCGCTGCTGCAGCGGACCCAGGGCGTGCGGCCTGGGTGAGTTGGGCCCGGAGACTCTTGCTGGCCAGACCAACCCGGCTGGCTTGGGAGGCCTGTGTTTTCCCTTGGCGTCCACGGGTGCAATCTTGGCAGTTCTCTTTCAGCTGCAAAGAAGAACGCGCTTATTTCTAGATAGAGAGCTTATTTCTGATAGGGGAAGACGGAGTCAGTTTCTAGACCTGTGAGGTTACTCTCCCTTCCAGCTGTGGCTACCAGAGCCGAATGCTGTGACCCTGGGGACGGTGTCTTTTCTCAGGTTGTGTTGCTTCTCTTCCTCTGCAGTGTCGATCATGCACCCAGCGATCGTTCTTTGAGCTTTTTGCAGTTGGACGTCTCTGAGTCCTTGCTGCTAGCCGACGTCTTGTTCCCTGATCCATCTGTCCATTGATAGCCGTCTTCGTTAGTAGCCACTTGATTGGGTTAGCTTGTTTCTCTCCTACGCTAGCTGACACATTACTTCCGCTGCACTAACCAGGTGACCTGGTGCTGAGTGAGGTCTTACTTTGTGCTTCTGCCTGTCTCCTCCCTGTCCATAGTTTGCTTGGTTTCTCCATTTATTTTCCCGGAAGTCAGGAAACGACCCCTTTCCTGCGTGTCATTGAAATCTATTCAGCTGGTAGTTGTCCTGTCCCATCCCTTTGAGATCCACGGCGGCGTTAGCAGGGCCATTGCAAGTGCCAAAGCTCGTACGGCAGAATGTGGCAGGGGTTGCTGGCGCAGTTTCCGTGATGGTGTTGGGACAGATTTGCTGTAATTGAGAGCGGCACTCTTATTTGTGGTAGACAGTAGCCATGGGTGACTATCGAGCACTTGAAATGGGCTAGTCTGAACTAAAGTGGTCTGCGAGTATAAGATACGACACCAGAGTTTGAAGACAGTGCACAAATAGGTTTTGAAAAGTTCATCGATGAGTTATAGGCATGTTTGTTGGAGAATATTCTTGGGTTACAGTTTCTCTTTTTTCTTTTTCTTCCTTTTTTCCCCATTTTTCTCTTTCTTCCTTCCTTCCTTCCTTCCTTCCTTTCTTTCTTTCTTTCTTTCTTTCTTTCTTTCTTTCTTTCTTTCTTTCTTTCTTTCTTTCTTTTTTTGAGGGGAGGAGGGGTATGAGGTGCCATAGCCCTGGTCCCTGAAGACCAGGCTACTATGGAATTTGAAGCTATCTTCCTGCCTGCTTCTGCCTCTGCCCCTTGATTGCTGGGTTTTACAGGAGTTTGCTTTCTGAGCCTGCTTCTCTTTTACTTTCCGATGTGACTGCAGGGAGTTTTCACATGATTTATGTGACTCGTACTGTAATCCTCTCAGGCAGTACTAATTTAAAAAACGTCGTCAGTCCTTTCTGCTTCCCTTTATGACCACGCCATATCCAAGGGCCACAGCTATTTCTCCCGGAGCCTCTGGAAGTATTAAGGGAACTGGATTTTTCTCCCTCTTGTCTAGATTGTCTGGTATTACGGAGCCATATTATGTTGTGAGCTCTCCTGGGCTATTTCACTCTTGGTCCTGAATTCTCTGGAAGCAGTGTGTTTCTCTGTCCTCACAGCACAGCCCTTCCTATGAGTCTTTGAGAGCAATTCTGCAAGCTTGTGTTGTAGATACGCATCATTTCTGGCAAGTGTTCCAAATCACTTTCTGATACCCCTTGTTCCTTTAGTACTTAAGCATGTGATAGTTAATTAATTAAGATGATTAACTTTTCAGTTAGAAATAGTCCACAATTTTGGGAAAAGTGGCGTTTTGCACTTCAGTTTTCCCAGGGACTGCATTGTGTTTTGTATAATGTGATAATGCCAATCACTTTAAAGGAGCATATGGGAAATCCTTTTGGAAATAAGGAATCATTTTAAAAATACGGTGATAATTTTGTTTGGAATAAGAATATTTTTATACAATTGTTTCTTTTTTTGGTTTTTCGAGGCAGGGTTTGTCTGTCTAATAGCCTTGACTGTCCCGGATATATAATCATTTTCTAAAGTCAGTGCATATCTGCATCCAGTGTCGACTTAGCTACAGGACACAACAGAACCATGTTCTGTATGTGTTTCTACCCATTATTAGTGTTTCTCTTACAGACTTTCCTTTACCTATTGCATCATCTTACATTATGAAAACTGAGAAACAGCTCTTAGGTAATACACACATTGTTTGAATTATCTTCTAAGCACTGAGGAATTAGATATTTGCAATTCCAGAGAAATCAGAGGAAATTGGATATGTGTGTGTTACATATAAGTCAATAACTTTTTAATTTTATTGATTATGGTTGGTATAGAGCACATAACTTGAATTAAAAGAAAAGCATTTTTAAGACAGTCTTACTATTTTGCTACCAACTGTCCTGAATGCTTTATCCTCCTTTTTGGCCTCCTGGGGGCTGGGATTGCAGCATGTGCCAGTCTAGACCTATTTTAATTTCATTTCTTCTCTGCTTTCTTAGCTTGTTTGGCCCAAACGTTGCTATACATTTTCAAAGATAACTGTGAAGGTAGCAAATCTGTCTAAAAGTTGACTACAACCTCTTTTGTGAAATTTAAAAGAAAAAAATGCAACACAATTAGTAATTTTAATAAATCTAATTTAGGAATTAAGGTTTTTATTTTACTCTCTTCTGTATGCGTGACTGTGTACATGCAGAGCCGTTTCTCTTTTTATAATGTTTATGTTAGATATTGTTGTCGGTTCCTTTAATTAACTATGAATATCCTGACATTTGTATTTCAGATTTTTCTGTGACGTCTTAAGCATGAGCCCCACACGGTGGGACTTCCCTGTGGAGTTATGTTGTCGGCCTATGGCTTTTGTTACACTTACTGGCCTTGACGTAGTTTATAATGCTGTGCATCGAGCAGTCTGGGATGCTTTCTGTGCCAATCGGAGAGCTGATCGGGTACCAATTTCTTTCAAGGTGCTCCCAGGTGACCATGAATATCCAAAATGTAGATCTAAGGTAATGGCATTAGGATTGCTCATACTCATTCATAGTCCCTGTCCTTTTCCCACCCCACTCCCCACCCTGTTCAGTGTGTGTGTGTGTGTGTGTGTGTGTGTTGGAAACTTGGGAACCCCCTGAGTGTATTAGGGCAAAGGTTACTGTTGTGTCTAAGGAAAAGCAGTGTTTATGTACTATGGGGTATATGCATATATTTAGTAACACTTCTTCACTGTGAGCCTACATTTTTCTTTAAGAATTTTTTATTTGTGTATTGTGTTTGTGTGTGTGTGTAGGTTCACTGACAGCTCTTAGTGTCAGTCTCTTCTTCCAGTGTGTGGGTCCTGAGGACTGGACTCAGGTAGTCCCAGGCTTTGCACAAAGTGCCCTTTCCATCTACCCCCATCCCTTGTCTTTTCATAAAACAACCATGGCAGTCTGTCTGTAAACAGATGAAGTGCAGTGGACTCCCGATTGTTGTAACATTTTACAGGAACAGAGATGGGTGGGGTAGAAGTAGACCTGGGAAAGGCCGAGTCCCTCTTTACACATAGCTAGACCTTGGCGTTTTTAGGCTCCTTGGTTTTGGCCGTTCTTCCTCCCATGGAGGGGTAGCGTTCGTGCGGTTGAGAGTCCGTTCTAACACCTAGACACTCACAGCTGTTACTAATTTCTGATGGCTGTACCGTCCTCATCTTAGACAGGGCGGCATGCATAGTGAACGCAGCAGATGTGTATAAAGTGCCTGGCACTCCGGAGACGCTTCCTGCTGCTTGCTCCTCTTACCACCTAACTCAGTTTTGTCACCGTCGGCAGAGAACGTCGTACGAGTGGTACATTCCCAAAGGGATCCTGAAGACCGGCTGGATGAATAAGCATCTGAACCTGGTGCCGGCTCTGGTGGTCGTCTTCTATGAACTGGACTGGGATGAGCCTCAGTGGAAAGAAAAGCAGTCTGAGTGCGCGACCAGGGTGGAAATCGTCAGGTACGACGCTGCTGGGCCTCTGGTACTCACAACTGTCTGTCGTTCACTGCCTTACTTGTTTGTGACATCAGGGATTGTGTCCATGGCCTGTGTGTGCCAGGCAAGCAGTCAGCCCTGTTTGCAAACACTTGAAAGTAATTCAATACTGTTTAAACTGCAGTGGTTACCTTGGAGACTGTTAACCTCATTCTGTTTCTAATAAGTATTAACTATATTGTACTAGGAATGTGAGGAAATTTAGAAGGCACGTTGGCCTGGTATTCCAATTTTTTGTTTATACTATGCTTTCTTTGGGAGATAACAACTTACTAGCAGACCTCAAAGATATATTTTATTATATATTTATTGTGTGTGTGTGTGTGTGTGTGTGTGTCTAACCCTTGTGCATGCATGCTGGTGCTTGCAGAGACCAGAAGAAGGCATCACACCCCCTGGGCTGTAGTGAGCTGCCCCACAGTGGCTGCTGGGAATTGAACTCTGGTCCTCTGGAAGAGCTTCAAGAGCTCCTAATTGCTGAAGCATCTCTCTTGGACTCGCATAAGCACTTGCCATCTCTCTAGCACTTACGAATTATTAATAATTTGTTATTGTGTGTACACAGTTTATATTTTTGTTCATGCATGCTATGACGCATGTGGGGGTCAGAGGACAGCCCTGGAGAGTTGGCTCCTTCCTTCAGCTTTTGAACATATATTCAGGCTCTAACTCAGGTTGCCAGGCTTGCGTAGCTGACATAGATGCTCTGCCCGTCTCACTGGTCCCCA